TCTTGGATCCCCTTCCCTCACTCTTGGATCCCCTTCCCTCACTCTTGGATCCCCTTCCCTCACTCTTGGATCCCCTTCCCTCACTCTTGGATCCCCTTCCCTCACTCTTGGATCCCCCCTCACCTTGGATCTCACTCACTCTTGGATCCCCTTCCCTCACTCTTGGATCCCCTTCCCTCACTCTTGGATCCCCTCCCTCACTCTTGGATCCCTCACTCACTCTTGGATCCCCTTCCCTCACTCTTGGATCCCCCCTCACTCTTGGATCCCCTTCCCTCCCTCCCTCTTGGATCCCTTCCCCTCACTCTTGGATCCCCTTCCCTCACTCTTGGATCCCCTTCCCTCACTCTTGGATCCCCTTCCCTCACTCTTGGATCCCCTTCCCTCACTCTTGGATCCCCTTCCCTCACTCTTGGATCCCCTTCCCTCACTCTTGGATCCCCTTCCCTCACTCTTGGATCCCCCCTCACTCTGGATCCCCTTCCCTCACTCTTGGATCCCCTTCCTCACTCTTGGATCCCCTTCCCTCACTCTTGGATCCCCTTCCCTCACTCTTGGATCCTTCCCTCACTCTTGGATCCCTCACTCACTCTTGATCCCCTTCCTCACTCTTGGATCCCCTTCCCTCACTCTTGGATCCCCTTCCCTCACTCTTGGATCCCCTTCCCTCACTCTTGGATCCCCTTCCCTCACTCTTGGATCCCCTTCCCTCACTCTTGGATCCCCTTCCTCACTCTTGGATCCCCTTCCCTCACTCTTGGATCCCCTTCCCTCACTCTTGGATCCCCTTCCCTCACTCTTGATCCCCTTCCCTCACTCTTGGATCCCCTTCCCTCACTCTTGGATCCCCTTCCCTCACTCTTGGATCCCTTCCCTCACTCTTGATCCCCTTCCCTCACTCTTGGATCCCCTTCCCTCACTCTTGGATCCCCTTCCCTCACTCTTGGATCCCCTTCCCTCACTCTTGGATCCCCTTCCCTCACTCTTGGATCCCCTTCCCTCACTCTTGGATCCCCTTCCCTCACTCTTGGATCCCCTTCCCTCACTCTTGGATCCCCTTCCCTCACTCTTGGATCCCCTTCCCTCACTCTTGGATCCCTCACTCTTGGATCCCTCACTCACTCTTGGATCCCCTTCCCTCACTCTTGGATCCCCTTCCCTCACTCTTGGATCCCCTTCCCTCACTCTTGGATCCCCTTCCCTCACTCTTGGATCCCCTTCCCTCACTCTTGGATCCCCTTCCCTCACTCTTGGATCCCCTTCCCTCACTCTTGGATCCCCTCCCTCACTCTTGGATCCCTCACTCACTCTTGGATCCCCTTCCCTCACTCTTGGATCCCCTTCCCTCACTCTTGGATCCCCTTCCCTCACTCTTGGATCCCCTTCCTCACTCTTGGATCCCCTCCCTCACTCTTGGATCCCTCACTCACTCTTGGATCCTTCCCTCACTCTTGGATCCCCTTCCCTCACTCTTGGATCCCCTTCCCTCACTCTTGGATCCCCTTCCCTCACTCTTGGATCCCCTTCCCTCACTCTTGGATCCCCTTCCCTCACTCTTGGATCCCCTTCCCTCACTCTTGGATCACTCTTGGATCTTCCCTCACTCTTGGATCCCCTTCCCTCACTCTTGGATCCCCTTCCCTCACTCTTGGATCCCCTTCCCTCACTCTTGGATCCCCTTCCCTCACTCTTGGATCCCCTTCCTCACTCTTGGATCCCCTTCCCTCACTCTTGGATCCCTTCCCTCACTCTTGGATCCCCTTCCCTCACTCTTGGATCCCCTTCCCTCACTCTTGGATCCCCTTCCCTCACTCTTGGATCCCCTCCCTCACTCTTGGATCCCTCCCTCACTCTTGGATCCCCTTCCTCACTCTTGGATCCCCTTCCCTCACTCTTGGATCCCCTTCCCTCACTCTTGGATCCCACTCTTGACCCTCACACTCTTGGATCCCCTTCCCTCACTCTTGGATCCCCTTCCCTCACTCTTGGATCCCCTTCCCTCACTCTTGGATCCCCTTCCCTCACTCCCCTGGATCACTCTTGGATCCCTTCCCTCACTCTTGGATCCCCTTCCCTCACTCTTGGATCCCCTTCCCTCACTCTGGATCCCTCTTGGATCTTGGATCCCCTTCCCTCACTCTTGGATCCCCTTCCCTCACTTTTGGATCCCCTTTCCTCACCTCTTGGATCCCCTTCACTCACTCTTGGATCCCCTTCACTCACTCTTGGATCCCCTTCCCTCACTCTTGGATCCCCTTCCCTCACTCTTGGAACCCCTTCCCTCACTCTTGGATCCCCTTCCCTCACTCTTGGATCCCCTTCCCTCACTCTTGGATCCTTCCCTCACTCTTGGACTCTTCCCTCACTCTTGGATCTTCCCTCACTCTTGGATCCCCTTCCCTCACTCTTGGATCCCCTTCCCTCACTCTTGGATCCCCTTCCCTCACTCTTGGATCCCCTTCCCTCACTCTTGGATCCCCTTCCTCACTCTTGGATCCCTCACTCTTGGATCCCCTTCCCTCACTCTTGGATCCCCTTCCCTCACTCTTGGATCCCCTTCCCTCACTCTTGGATCCCTCTTCCCTCACTCTTGGATCCCCTTCCCTCACTCTTGGATCCCCTTCCCTCACTCTTGGATCCCCTTCCCTCACTCTTGGATCCCTCACTCTTGGATCCTCACTCTTGGATCCCCTTCCCTCACTCTTGGATCCCCTTCCCTCACTCTTGGATCCCCTTCCCTCACTCTTGGATCCCTCACTCTTGACCCTCACTCTTGGATCCCCTTCCCTCACTCTTGGATCCTCACTCTTGGATCCCCTTCCTCACTCTTGGATCCCCTTCCCTCACTCTTGGATCCCCTTCCCTCACTCTTGGATCCCCTTCCCTCACTCTTGGATCCCCTTCCCTCACTCTTGGATCCCCTTCCCTCACTCTTGGATCCCCTTCCCTCACTCTTGGATCCCCTTCCCTCACTCTTGGATCCCCTTCCCTCACTCTTGGATCCCCCTTCCCTCACTCTTGGATCCCTTCCCTCACTCTTGGATCCCCTCCCTCACTCTTGGATCCCCTTCCCTCACTCTTGGATCCCCTTCCCTCACTCTTGGATCCCCTTCCCTCACTCTTGGATCCCCTTCCCTCACTCTTGGATCCCTCCCTCACTCTTGGATCCCCTTCCCTCACTCTTGGATCCCCTTACCTCACTCTTGGATCCCCTTCCCTCACTCTTGGATCTCCTTCCCTCACTCTTGGATCCCTTCCCTCACTCTTGGATCCTCCTCTTGGATCCCCTTCCCTCACTCTTGGATCCCCTTCCCTCACTCTTGGATCACTCCCCTGGATCTTGATCTTTCCCTCACTCTTGGATCCCCTTCCCTCACTCTTGGATCCCCTTCCCTCACTCTTGGACTCTTTCCCTCACTCTTGATCCCCTTCCCTCACTCTTGGATCCCCTTCCCTCACTCTTGGATCCCCTTCCCTCACTCTTGGATCCCCTTCCCTCACTCTTGGATCCCCTTCCCTCACTCTTGGATCCCCTTCCTCACTCTTGGATCCCCTTCCCTCACTCTTGGATCCCCTTCCCTCACTCTTGGATCCCCTTCCCTCACTCTTGGATCCCCTTCCCTCACTCTTGGATCCCCCTTCCCTCACTCTTGGATCCCTCCCTCACTCTTGGATCCCCTTCCCTCACTCTTGGATCCCCTTCCCTCACTCTTGGATCCCCTTCCCTCACTCTTGGATCCCCTCCCTCACTCTTGGATCCCCTTCCCTCACTCTTGGATCCCCTTCCCTCACTCTTGGATCCCCTTCCCTCACTCTTGGATCCCCTTCCCTCACTCTTGGATCCCCTTCCCTCACTCTTGGATCCCTTCCCTCACTCTTGATCCCCTTCCCTCACTCTTGGATCCCCTTCCCTCACTCTTGGATCCCCTTCCCTCACTCTTGGATCCCCTTCCCTCACTCTTGGATCCCCTTCCCTCACTCTTGGATCCCCTTCCCTCACTCTTGGATCCCCTTCCCTCACTCTTGGATCCCCTTCCCTCACTCTTGGATCCCCTTCCCTCACTCTTGGATCTTCCTTCACTCTTGGATCTCACTCTTGGATCCCCTTCCCTCACTCTTGGATCCCTTCCCTCACTCTTGGATCCCCTTCCCTCACTCTTGGATCCCCTTCCCTCACTCTTGGATCCCCTTCCCTCACTCTTGGATCCCCTTCCCTCACTCTTGGATCCCCTTCCCTCACTCTTGGATCCCCTTCCCTCACTCTTGGATCCCCTTCCCTCACTCTTGGATCCCCTTCCCTCACTCTTGGATCCCCTTCCCTCACTCTTGGATCCCCTTCCCTCACTCTTGGATCCCCTTCCCTCACTCTTGGATCCCCTTCCCTCACTCTTGGATCCCCTTCCCTCACTCTTGGATCCCCTTCCCTCACTCTTGGATCCCCTTCCCTCACTCTTGGATCCCCTTCCCTCACTCTTGGATCCCCTTCCCTCACTCTTGGATCCCCTTCCCTCACTCTTGGATCCCCTTCCCTCACTCTTGGATCCCCTTCCCTCACTCTTGGATCCCCTTCCCTCACTCTTGGATCCCCTTCCCTCACTCTTGGATCCCCTTCCTCACTCTTGGATCCCCTTCCCTCACTCTTGGATCCCCTTCCCTCACTCTTGGATCCCCTTCCCTCACTCTTGGATCCCCTTCCCTCACTCTTGGATCCCCTTCCCTCACTCTTGGATCCCCTTCCCTCACTCTTGGTTGGTGGAGGCACGGCAGACAGAGGTACAGTTGATGTAGGCCCAGTTGGTGGAGGCACACAAGGTGAAGTCAGAGTTGGTGGAGGCACGGTTGGAGGCACAGTTGGTGGAGGCACATAGTTGATGGAGCCACAGCAGGAAGAGGCACAGTTGATAGAGGCCAAGATAGTGGAGGCACAGTTGGTGGACGCACAGCAGGCCGTGGCACAGTTAACGGAGGCACAGTTGATATAGGCACAGTTGGAGAAGGCAATGTTGGTTTTGGCACAGTTGGTGGAGGCTCAGTTGGTGGAGGCACAGATGATGGAGGCACAGTTGATGGAGGCACAGTTGGTGGCGGCACAGTTGGTGGAGGACATTGTGGTGGAGGCACAGTTGGTTGAGGCACACTTTTTGGAGGCACAGATGATGGAGGCACAGTTTATGGCGGCACAGTTGGTGGCGGCACGGCAAACAGAGGAACAGTTGGTAGAGGCACAGTTAGTGGAGGCACGGCAAGCAGAGGCACAGTTGGGAAAAGCACAGTTGTTGGAGGCACAGTTGGTGGAGGCACGACAGACAGAGGCACAGTTGGTGGAGGTACAGTTGGTGGAGGCACAGTGGGTGGAGGCACTCAAAGTAGAGGCCCAGTTGGCGGAGGCACACATAATGGAGGCACAGTTGGTGGAGGCACATCAGACAGAGGCACAGTTGGTGGAGGTACAGTTGGTGGAGGCACAGTGGGTGGAGGCACTCAAAGTAGAGGCACAGTTGGTGGAGGCACGGCAGACAGAGACAAAGTTGGTGTTGGCACGACAGACAAATTTACCGTTGGTGGAGGCACAATTGGTGGAGGCACGGCAGGCAGAGGCACAGTTGATGGAGGCACAGCTGACAAATGTACCGTTGGTGGAGGCACAATTGGTGGAGGCACGGTGGGCAGAGGCACAGTTGATGGAGGCACAGTTGGTCGACGCACAGTTGGTGGAGGCACAGTTGGTGGAGGCACAGTACTTGGAGTCACAGTTGGTAGAGGTACAGTTGGTGGAGGCACAGTACTTGGAGTCACAGTTGGTAGAGGCACAGTTGGTGGAGGCATAGTTGGTGGAGGCATGGTTGGTGGAGGCACAGTTTGTGGAGGCACAGTTGGTGGAGGCATGGTTGGTGGAGGCACGGCAGACAGAGGCACAGTTGATGGAAGCAAAGTTGGTGGAGGCACGCAGACAGAGTCACAGTAAGTTGAGGCACAGTTGGTGGAGGCACAGAAGACCGAGGCACAGTAGGTGGAGGCACTGTTGGTGGAGGCACGGCAGACAGAGGTACAGTTGATGGAGGCCCAGTTGGTGGAGGCACGGCAGACAGAGGTACAGTTCATGGAGGCCCAGTTGGTGGAGACACAGTTGGTGGAGGCACGGCAGACAGAGGTACAGTTGATGGAGGCCCAGTTGGTGGAGGCACAGTTGGTGGAGGCATGGCAGAGAGAGGCACAGTTGGTGTTTGGCACGGCAGACTGAGACACAGTTGGTGGAGGCACGGATGGTGGAGGCACAGTTGGTGGAAGCACAGTTGGTGGAGTAACAGTTGGTGGAAGCACAATTGGTGGAAGCACAGTTGGTGGAGTAACAGTTGGTAGAGGCACAGTTGGAGGAGGTATAGTTAGTGGAGGCACAGTTGGTGGTGGCCCAATTCATGGAGTCACAGTTGGTGGAGGTGCAGTAGGTGGAGGCACGGGAAACAGAGGCACGGCTTAGGGACGCACAGTTGGTTGAGGCACGGCAGACAGAGGTACAGTTGGTGGTGGCTCGGCAAACACAGGCACAGTTGGTGGAGGCACAGTTGTTGGAGGCACAGTTGGTGAAGGCACGGGAGACAGGGGCACAGTTGATGGAGGCTTATTTGGTGGAGGCACAGTTGGTGGATGTACGGCAGACAGAGGGACAATTGATGGAGGCACAGTTTGTGGAAGAATGCAGACAGAGGCTCAGTTGGTGGAGGCAAGAAAGCAGAGGCACAGTTGGTGGAGGCACAGTTGGTGAAAGCACGGCAGACAGAGGCACAGTTGCTGGAGGCACAGTTGTTGGAGACACAGTTGTTGGTGGCACGTCAGACACAGGCACAGTTGGTGGAGGCACAACTGGTTGATGCACGGCAAGGGGATGCACGACAGTTGGAGGCACGGTAGGGGGAGGCATCCCGTGCACTGTGCCCAACAAAAAAAGAACAAAGAGGGTGCGGGAGATGCCGCGGGCGACGTCTTGTAATTACTCTGACGTAAGAAACCTTCGGAGGGAGGAGGGAGGGAGGGAGGGAGGGAGGGAGGGAGGAGGGAGGGAGGGAGGGAGGGAGGGAGGAGCGGAGGGAGGGAGGGAGGAGCGGAGGGACGGACGGAGGGAGGGGTGAATGGAAGGAAGGAGGTAGGGTGGGGTGGAAAAAAGGGTGGGATGAAGTGAGTGGTGGCAAGAGAGAAGGAGGGAAGAAAGGATAGATGGGATAAAGGAGGGAGGAGAAGTGGGATTTAGGGAAGGAGGGAAGGAGGAAGGATGGAGGGATTGTAATGCCATACACAACCTGAATAAATATACAAATAAAAAATTATGTAGCTAGCAGAGTTAAACAATTAAGATAAAGCACTCTACCTCATCAACGCAAGCAGAGCTCACTGCCATTGCCATCGCATTAAGATTCATTGAAAGAAACACTAATGTATATTTGACAATTATTATTTTCCTAATTCAAACAATATGGGTATTACTAAGCTACACACATTTTTATTGTCTCTTAGACGTTCAAATTCTCTCAGGTAGAATGTGACTCAAAATGTGACTCACTGCCGCTTTCAGTACTTGGCATATGTTGGGTATAAAAAGTCGTAATTTCAAACTGCGAATACATGCAGAGAGCCTGAAATTGGCTCCAAAATATGGCTCAGGCCTCGAAATTGAGATATTTTGGATATTTTGAAAACTGCATGGGGGTTTGGGACAAATGTGACCAAACGCAGCTTTCAGTACTTGGCATATGTTGGGTAAAAAAAGTCGAAATTTCAAACTGCGAATACGTGCAGATAGCCAGAATTTAGCTCCAAAATATGGCTCAGGCCTCGAAATTGGAATGTTTTGGATATTTTGAAAACTGCACAGAGATTTGGGACAAATGTGATTAAACTCCGCTTTCAGTACTTGGCATATGTTGGGTATAAAAAGTCGTAATTTCAAACTGCGAATACGTGCAGATAGCCAGAATTTGGCTCCAAAATATGGATCATGGCTCTAAATTGGAATGTTTGGAATATATGGAAAATTGCAGGGAGGTTCGGGACAAATGTGATGAAACGCAGCTTTAAGTACTTGGCATATGTTAGGTATAAAAAGTCGTAATTTCAAACTGCGAATACGTGCAGAGAGCAAGAATTTGACTCCAAAATATGACTCAGGCCTCGAAATTGGGATGTTTGGGATATTTTAAAAACTGCATGAGGGTCTGGGACAAATGTGACCAAACGCCACTTTCAGTACTTGGCATATGTTGGGTATAAAAAACCGTAATTTCAAACTGCGAATACGTGCAGAGAGCCAGAATTTGACTCCAAAATATGGCTCAGGTCTCGAAATTGGGATATTTTGGATATTTTGAAAACTGCATTGGGGTTTGGGCCATATGTGATCAAACGCCGCTTTCAGTACTTGGCATATGTTGGGTATAAAAAGTCGTAATTTCAAACTGCGAATACGTGCAGAGAGTCAGTAATTAATTCCAAAATATGGCTCAGGCCTCGAAATTGGGATATTTGGGATATTTTGAAAACTGCAGGGGTGTTAGTGCAAAATGTGACTCTCTGCCGCTTTCAGTACTTTGCATATGTTGGGTATAAAAAGTGGTAATTTCAAACTGCGAATACGTGCAGAGAGCCAGAATTTGGCTCAAAAATATTGCTCTGGCCTCTAAATTGGGATGTTTGAAATATTTTGAAAATTTCAGGAGGGGTTTGGTACAAATGTGACCAAACGCCGCTTTCAGTACTTGGCATATGTTAGGTAAAAAAAGTCGAAATTTCAAACTGCGAATACCTGCAGAGAGCCAGAATTTGGCTCCAAAATATGGCTCAGGCCATGAAATTGGGATATTTTGAAAACTGCAGGGGGGGTTTGTGCAAAATGTGACTCACTGCCGTTTTCAGGACTTGGCATATGTTGGGTATAAAATGTCGTAATTTCTAACTGCGAATGCGTGCATAGAGCCAGATTTTGGCTCAGGCCTCGAAATTGGGATGTTTGGGATATTTTGAAAACTGCAGGGGGGTTTGGGACAAATATGACCAAATGCTGCTTTCAGTACTTGGCATATGTTCTGTATAAAAAGTCGTAATTTCAAATTGCGAATACGTGCAGAGAGCCAGAATTTGGCTCCAAAATATGGCTCAGGCCTCGATATTGGGATGTTTGGGATATTTTGAAAACTGCAGGGAGGTTTGGGACAAATATGACCAAACGCCGCTTTCAGTACTTCGCATATGTTGGGTATTAAAAATTCGTAATTTCAAACTGCCATTACGTGCCGAGAGCCAGTATTTGGCTCCAAAACATGGCTCAGGCCTCGAAATTGGGATGTTTGGGAAATTTTGAAAACTGCAGGGGAGTGTGCAAAATGTGACTCACTGCCGCTTTCAGTACTTGGTGTATGTTGGGTATAAAAAGTCGTAATATCAAACTGCGAATACGTGCAGAGAGCCAGAATTTGGCTCCAAAATATGGCTCAGGCCTCGAAATTGGGATGTTTGGAATATTTTGAAAACTGCAGGGGGGTTTGGGACAAATATGACCAAACGCCGCTTTCAGTACTTGGCATATGTTCCGTATAAAAAGTCGTAATTTCAAACTGCGAATACGAGCAGAGAGCCAGAATTTGGCTCCAAAATATGGCTCTGGCCTCGATATTGGGATGTTTGGGATATTTAAAAAACTGCAGGGAGGTTTGGGACAAATGTGACCAAACGCCGCTTTCAGTACTTGGCATATGTTGGGTATAAAAAAGTCGTAATTTCAAACTGCGAATACGTGCAGAGAGCCAGAATTTGGCTCCAAAATATGGCTCAGGCCTCGAAATTGGGATGTTTGGGCTATTTTGAAAAGTGCAGGGGAGTTTGTGCAAAATGTGACTCACTGCCGCTTTCAGTACTTGGCATATGTTGGGTATAAAAAGTCGTAATATAAAACTGCGAATACGTGCAGAGAGCCAGAATTTGGCTCCATAATATGGCTCAGGCCTCTATATTGGGATATTTGGGATATTTTGAAAACTGCAGGGGGAGTTAGTGCAAAATGTGACTCTCTGCCGCTTTCAGTACTTGGCATATGTTGGGTATAAAAAAGTCGTAATTTCAAACTGCGAATACGCGCAGAGAGCCAGAATTTGGCTCCAAAATATGGTTCAGGCCTGGAAATTGGGATGTTTGGGATATTTTGAAAACTTCAAGGGGGGTTTGAGCAAAGAGTGACTCACTGCCGCTTTCAGTACTTTGCATATGTTGGGTATAAAAAGTCGTAATTTCAAATTGCGAATACGTGCAGAGAGCCAGAATGTGGCTCCAAAATATGGCTCAGGCCTCGAAATTGGGATGTTTGGAATATTTTGAAAACTGCAGGCGGGTTAGTGCAAAATGTGACTCTCTGCCGCTTTCAGTACTTGGCATATGTTGGGAATAAAAAGTCGTAATTTCAAACTGCGAATACGTGCAGAGAGCCAGAATTTGGCTCAAAAATATTGCTCTGGCCTCGAAATTGGGATGTTTGGGATATTTTGAAAATTTCAGGGGGTTTGGTACAAATGTGAGCAAACGCCGCTTTCAGTACTTGGCATATGTTAGGTAAAAAAAAGTCGAAATTTCAAACTGCGAATACGTGCAGAGAGCCAGAATTTGGCTCCAAAATATGGCTCAGGCCATGAAATTGGGATATTTTGAAAACTGCAGGGGGGGGGGGGTTTGTGCAAAATGTGACTCACTGCCGCTTTCAGTACTTGGCATATGTTGGGAATAAAAAGTCGTAATTTCTAACTGCGAATGCATGCATAGAGCCAGATTTTGGCTCTGGCCACGAAATTGG